TTTGCCCATATGAACGTGATTACTCAGTTAGTACCTGTTTTTATAGACCACCTTAATGTTGGTCAGAACCCGCAAGGCAGAGAAATCAGTTTCTTACCAACATTATCTTCAAAATTACAGCTAGCAGTGTATTCCTGTAAGGATTTAAATATATGGATAAAAAGGTTCTATATCTTCGAATGGAATAATATATTATGAGTACATTTCAAATGAAAAGTTTAAAAACAATGGTAAGCTTTCATTTCAGTAAATTATTAAATATTCCGACTTTTGGTGTGATCACGGGCAGTAACCTTGTTCGAATTATTACCAAAACAAGAACTTATCATTATATGCAAGCTTTCGGTCAATAATTTTAAGATTTCGATTTCTCTGAAAACCCCATTTACAGTTATAAATTACACTCAATGCATATTGATCTCGGCGACTACCAGAACGCGCTCTTCGCCCTACTCGGGACTCATCAGCTGGATGTAGCAGCACCCCAGCGGGTGATGTGGTCCCCACTGTGGATCAAACTCAATAGCCATCGCTTAAACCAGAACAGCGTTATCCATTAAGCTGAGCACCAAATAGAACAAAACGCCAGTCCTGGAGTCCTCTGTTAGTCACCGAGATCAATGTAACATCATGAATCAGCAGTAGTATCAAGGTATCCGCACAGGAGCCCATCTACCAACAGAGGTCGAGCAATTCAGCCCTGTATAACAACGGAGAATTATAATTATCATTGCAACAATTACTCTCAATACATTTTGAAACAGGCTCCCTGAAATATTACACAACATTGTCACTACAGAATTGAATTCTCTACAAATTTTAAGTCCATTTTGGATTTAATTTTAACCTGGAGGCGATTAATCTCTTAAAACAGAATTTATGTGACAAGTGGTGATTTATAAACGAATCTAAATACACAAAGCTTATCTGGGCTGAACTAATTAGATTCATACAAAAAGTGTTCTAGTCCAATTGGACACACAAACACAGAGGAATCAGCCAATCATTTTTCATTTCAAATTTCTTCCTTCCACCCTAAATAAATTAGGGGGAAGATGTGGACCGGGTAATAAACGTCTCTATTCATTTATCTCTGACACCTTTGTGAGCATCAACTGAGCAGCCAGCATGACTCATTCTAACGGTCAGTTGATCATGCATCAGTGGCAGATTAGGTTCGACCATTCCTAGCTTTCTTACAACCTAGTCCTAATAAACCGTACACTCAAACAGAGCATTTTTTATTTGACGACGCCTCTAAACGCAAAATATTCTTCAAACACACCTGTGATCAGTAGTCTGTAACCCAGTGATATCCCTCACCTTAAGTGTTTATATTTCGTATAGCAGAAAGCTGGGTGGAATACTCATTCTTCGGCAGGCAGATGCACATTTTACCTACCATAATGGTTGTGTGGGTTAGTAAACTTCAAACTTGAGATTTTTATCTATGACAAAATCTTGTCAGCAAATGGATGATACAGTTTTTAATATAAGTGAGTTGGTCAACTAATTCAACTAAGCTAATCCCTGCCTGCTCTTAAAAAAGCAGGCACTATGCGGACCAGCTAGCAGTAGCAATCTACCAATTATTTTGTATACTACGTACTTAGAAAGTGTTCCCTCAACAGATTTATTCCAAAGATGGCTAGATAGTTCCGTAACCATATGATCAATAAAGTCAAAACAAACACAGATTGTATGTCTATTTGTCATGCATATACACGCTAGTTCCCATTATGTACCCTGCATCAGTAATCTAAAAAATGAATAAGATTGTAAAAAGCCTCATACAATAGCAGTTGTGGATAACTAACTAATTCCATTCTGTGTATTTTGAGAAATACGTTTACTGGCTCAATACTTTCACAACTTGTAGGCATATGCTGCAGGTAGCTTATCAAGTGAATTAAAATACCCAGATAAAACTTGTAACAACGAACTACATGAGTAGCACTTGCCAGCCACTGATATGAGCAGTTAGAAACCAACAGTTTCAATATAAGTAGTGTTTGTTCGCTACATCTCAGTTATGTAAATACCAGACAGCTTTTTCATTCGTTTGAGATTGAGCTCATTAGAGGTGTACCCGAAGTGATTGAGAGCAAAAGATTGAATTATTCAAACTATCCTAGAACTGGCTAACAGCTTTAGCAAACTGGTAACACTTAGAAGTAAAGTAATTTGTAAGAAAGAATATAAAAGAAGAATATTCCATTTGATAAGTTCTCGACAGCTTCTATAATTATAGAATGCAGGTGTACAGCATGAAAGCAAACCAAGTTTGAGATGAATAAATTTTCGAAGTGGAGGCCAAGGTAAGAGTAACGTTTGAACATGTTCTTTCTGAATGCAAAGTCGAGATTTGATCAATCTTATTGTAACAGCCTCAGTTATGTTGAACAGGTGTTGGCGAGTTACACGTGGTCTTATTTTCGGTACTCGATGTACGACACTGAAATCGTTATTAGCGTCTACGTGATGCTATATTTTTACTAAGTGCACTATGACAGAACTTCTCACCAATTTCACTTTACCCTTTCCAAACCAATCCAGTAGAAGTTCTCTTATCCGAACATACACCTGCCTAATCGTACACCATACGCGGTTTGTTCGATAGGAACAGTTAAACTGATATATGCAAGATGAGGAGCTAAGACTAGGCAGGCTATTCTTCAGCTTCGGATTGAGCATTGACCGACTGCTGAAAGATATGCAAAGATAGCCTGCATAAAACTTTCGATTGACTGCTCTGGCTAGGCGTTGCGATTGAATTTCCCTTGGAGCGTCTCCCTTGAATTGTAATCACAGAAACAAAGGCTTCTACTCGTTTGAGACTACTGAAAGTGATGTAAGCTTTGATGGACTTATCCGGATATCCGTTTTCATTTAGATTATCAAGTATACACAGTAATTCTTTCTCCACACTCCCTGAGATAAACTGATCTTACTATAAGTGCTAGCCACCGGATTATATTTCGTTTGCAATTCATCGGCACGAAGCTCAGAAAGTGTGTTTGCTGGGCCTTAGACGTGGGTTTTTCTACATACACTTCTCAGTATAGAGTTATTTTGTTGTCATTAGCACACCAAAAATATGTATCAATTCATTGATTTCATTTTTATATGTAAAATGAACTGATGAGAGAGCTCTGTTGAAGTGGTTCAGAATATAATTACTACATAGGTACTTATCAAAGATTAAAACAGTATCATCCGTATATCGACAGTACAACTCCATATTGTCAATTTGATCTTTCAAAGGACCATTCTCAAGAAATATGCCTGCAAATATAGGACCCATAGCTATTCCATCAACTTATCTGTAGAAATTACTATTAAAGATGAACCGAACATTGATTGTGCATTTGAGAAATAGTTCCTTCAAATACACAACAGGAATGTCAGTGTCTAATCTTCTCTTTAGTTATTAATTAATTAACGTAACCCACGGTTTTAATTAGAGAGACGTTAGTAAACAAGGATGTGACACCAGAGGATTCATTGTATTTAGAGAGTACATTTAAGTTTTTAAATCGGTCAACAAACTACAAGGTGCCTTTTAAGCTAAATTTGCCAAGTCATAACGCGAAATTACACAGTGAAGGAACAGTATCATTTACTGGACAGCGTTTCGGATAGAATTTACTGTCCATATTCATATCAGATAACTCCACAACCTTGAGACAGTTTATATATTCCTAATTTTCTCTCTTTTTCTGTGATGACAAGGGTAGTAGAATTTCCCATATATCTGGGATAGGTGCAGAAACCTTCCTATGGCACGTATTTGGTGTTGATTCGATAAACAAAGATTCGGTTATCAATCTCTCCCCCCTCCATCCAACTAAGTTAGCTTTTAATACTGTCGCTCTACACCACCCTTTTGTATGATTGTGCGTGATTGTCTACAAGAGCTATAGACGAGTTGTTTTCTAAATTTCTTGTCATATTAGGATTTACTAATCTTAGTTTAGCCAAGTTTTGTGGTCTGTTATTTTAATCGACCATGGTCGACTACTTTGACCTCGCAATCATTGCAAGGGATTCGGTAAACCAGATTATTTTGTTTAATTGCATTGATAGGATCTTTCAACCTACAAAGCTTGTTTCTAAGCGAGTTTATTGGTTTGAAAGCCACTTTAATCCCAGCCAGCCTTATTGAGAATTACTCGTAATTCTTCTGAGGTGCCTTCCTTGTATGGTAACACAGAAAAGGCTTTGAATTCTCTATCAGCGCTGTCACCATTAGTAGTAAAATTAGTATCAATAACACCAGTATTACAACTACTACTGCTAATATTTTTCTTTCGATTTTTTATGAATTTATTTATAAATTTAGGTAGGTAATTATTGAGATGCAAGGTATTCTTGATGTCTAATTTCTTGTCGTAGATTTTCTGGCCTACTAGTAAGCTTCTTCCGCCCTATCACTTAGGGCTATTTTTACTGAGATGGGGTGGGAGGATTTAAAGTCTACGTAGTGGTTCGAATGGGATGGTTTCTCATAGACACTAGTCTCCTGTGTTCGTTTAATCTTGCAATCCAACATTGCTAGCTCACTTCCATGACTTCATAAGTAACAGGTAAATTGGACTGCATCCACTACTGAATTTGAATGTTCCAAGAAACGATTGATGTGTTTCGATTTCAGTGCTGTAAACGTATCATCTACATATCTGAGCCATATATTTGAAGTAAAACTACATGCTTGAAGGGCCATCCGTTCCCAAATATCCATAAATATGTCTGCGACGATACGGGATAATGGTGATCCCATAGCAGTTGGTTGTTTAGGGACTTCAACTTCCAAAAGGAGTACCCTTTCAGAAGTAATGTCATTGGATTATCCTCCCTGTAAGTCATATGTATAACTTACCACTCTATACATATGACAACTTTCTGACTAATCTTTACCGTTTCAAAAGCCATTGGATAGAAAGTATTGCCCTTCAAAGGATTTAATACCAAGTCATCAAATAACATTTAAAGCAAACTAATCAAAGGCAGGACAATTTATTTTACAGATACTATTTACATATTACAATACACTATTGGTATCCAGGCCTAAAAAATTCATACACGCAGTTCTTCCTGCTGTCTCTCTGCTACGACTGGATTTGATTCAACATCATCATCGTCTTCTGTGTCATGAGTTTGAGATGCTTTTTAACATTATGTTCAGTTGGTGAATAATAGTTAGAGATATTCAAGAGAAATCTTTCACCAGTCGGTGGACAATGAATTTCTCCTGACGTGATAAAATCACCTACAATTAGAAGTAAATAGATAATTATTTCAAAACTCAATAATATCATCCACACAGAGAAAAATCCAACCAGTTGACTATGATTATTATCATCACTATTCATGTTATGGTGTACAGATACTAGTGATATAGCGTGATTACCAAATGCTCTAAGAGTCATTGTCATTCACACTTACGATTCCATTTACACGACGATTTCTAGAGGATACTTTCTGTAGGTTTTTCTCAACCGGATTATGCACAAAAATGAATTTTCAACATTCAGACCCATTAATAATGATAAATAATGCAGCTCCGTAAACACATGTAAGTTCCTACAATAAACTATGAGTAACATCTATTGTGTGTGCGAGCTAGTTATACTATATGGCTAAGGTTATCGGCATTACCATGGAAATTGATACACAAAATGATGACACTTGAATATCAATTAACCGACTCCTCTAGCTACATCTCCGATTAAAATGTGATACGTTTCCTAAATGTTGTTATGGGAGAAAGAAAGAGATATCTTCACATCCCTTGCTAAAAAAACACGATTTTCTTGTGGCCTTCAACCTCACGCGTAATTATCTTTACATTATTAGCTAGATGATATTGACTTATATTATTTTTAGTTTCAGTCCCTGTATATGAGTATCAGTTTTAGTCCATCATATAAAACGGAATACGAAACAATCAGTATGTAAGCCCTCTTCATCACCACTCAGTGAGTACATGTCGCTCGGCCGAAACATATCATATCGCGTTAATTTTGACATTCAAATAGACCAACATCCAATTGTCACCCTACACAACACAAAGTACTACTTCAAAAAAAATCCTTCCCGATATTTCAGTTTAAACCGGTGCGATTCTACAGTTACGTGTTCATTCACGAATTCGGTTTTGAAGTTACAAGTTCTCAGTGACAGCTGACTGCATAAATCTGCATGAATAGAGTGTGCCAAGTATCGACGTCCTACGAAAGGAAATTTGAGAGTGAAATAAAAAGAATTACAACCTAGCAAACTGGAGAAGAATATCAAAAAGTCAATGTAAGTAAAACCTCGCCTAGTTCACTAGTTTACTAGTTACTAGCCGGTCCTAAACCCGGATAAAGAGGGAAGATTGGGCATAGGGCTAGCAACCCTACCCCGTAAAAACAATCCAATCGCCAAAGAAACTTCAAAACACAAAGAAAATATAAAAAATAAAGATAAACTAATTCCTCGCTGGAATCGGGGAGACGGAAAGACGCCGGTTGGTGAAAGTCTTCGGGAAGCCAATCGGGCGATATGTCTTCTCTTCTCTCGATGAAAGCGGAAGTAACCATAGGGACACGAAATATCGGCACGAGCAGTCAACCTTGTATCTCAAATTCATGTGCGGATCAAATTGCAACGCTACACATCATCATAGAACAGAGCATAGAATAGAAGTCAACTCTCTACCTCAACTTCATCGATTTTGAAAAAGCCATCAACAGCGTCGACCGACAAGCAGTTTGGCAACTGCTTCAACAGTACGCTTTTAGCGCCACAAACCTCATTCAACAGCTATATGACATTTGCCAAGGGATTCACAATAGGAAGCTCACTGATGCCTTTCAAGTGGAGACAGGAGACAGGGGTACGACAAGGTTGCCACCTACTATCACCGATGATCTTTCTGATTGCGGTCGACTGGACTATGCAAGAAACTATGAGGAGCTATGAGGAGAGGGGCATACACTATTTGACCCATGAAAATACCCTAGGAGTTTTGGATTTCGCCAACGATGATGATTTTTGTCTAATGTCTTGTAGCACGAACTCGAAGGTCTACGGGCAAAAACTAACAAGTTGGCAGAAGAGGAGAGGCGAGGCAGCGAAGGAAGACAGAACTTCCTTCAGGTGAACGTAGGGAAGACAGAGGTAGAGGTGATGAAGATACCCGACCACCACCACCAACAACAACAACAGCAACAAGCATCAATCACCATGAACGGGAGAAATCTGAAGGAAGTTGTCTCTTTCACCCACTTACCTACCACCCACCCACCTGCCTGCCTACCTACCTACCTACCTACCTACCTACCTACCTACCTACCTACCTACCTACCTACCTACCTACCTACCTACCTACCTACCTACCTACCTACCTACCTACCTACCTACCTACCTACCTACCTACCTACTTACCTAGGCAGCATCATTTTAACTACAGGTGGCACAGGCACAGATGAGGATATCAAAGCCAGCCAGGATCGGAAAGACAGTAAGACAGGCCTTCATCAACCTGAAACCAGTGTGGGGATCTACTGAACTTAGTTAGCTTAAAGAGCAATATCCACATTTTCAACATTAAGTCAGTCAAGTCGGTACTTCTATGCGATGGTTTACAAACTTTGCGCGTTACAAAAAGCATTTCCAACAAACTACAGATATTCATCAACAGTTACCACCTACGCTCACTCGATACTGAATATGAATCAGATGGCCAGAATAATAAGAATAAGCAACAAGGAACTCTGGCTGGCAGGCAACAAACCAACGAAGCAAGAACCCATCGCCCAACAAATATGCAGAAGAAGGTGGAGATAGATTGGATTGTATTGGATTAGGCACACACTGGGAAGACCAACTGGGGACATCACGCGCCGGGCCAGGCTAGGCCAGGCCAGGTCATCGAGTGGAACCGAAAGGGTAAACGGTGAGTTGGGCGTCTGGGGAGGGGGTGACATGGAGAAGATCGTGTGAGGAAGAAACTAAAGCTTATTGGCAGTCGTGAAGTCAGGTTGAAAAGAGTGCAGAGGAGAGAGTGAAATGGCGAGGTGCTACTGAAGCTCCATGTTCCACTAGGAACCCAACCGACAAATAATAATGAATCAGATCGCCATATCGAAGTAAGTAGGGTTGGACTTGCACTTAGGATCCACTACTGTTTGATACGATTGGAAAACTTTTCTAATTAGTCTAAGAGCAAATATTTCATGGAATATGTTTTGATGGTAGCTGGAGTGCATGGTTCATTCACATCAAGTCATATTCTGTTGATACAAAGACGATACATTTATTGTTATTATAAAATGTAAGCTGTTAACCATATAGAACAATTGTATGTCCACAAAAAGTCAAGTGACATCTATTAAATCTACACGGATAAAAGCAGCTTAACACAATTCAAATGAACAGGAACTACGATGAAAAACAAAAACTGCTGAAATGATAGAGAAGATTTGCGGCTTGGGATGAAGATGACAGTGGTATGTTATTTTCCCAGCTCTGATATTTTTTCATGAACGCTTCATCACTAGGCTACTTGGTGCTGGTATTCTGGAAGGATAAATATCAGCTTAGCTTTATCAAAAGGTGCTTCTTGAGATCAATGACGATGGTATCCTACTACTCCTAACTTAGCTGTTCACCTTTCATTTATGCTCTTCATCAAATTTGCTTTGATACCCTTATAACTATGTTGGATACTTGCTTTATACTATTGTGAAGTCCAAGTACTTGAACCGAACACCACACTATGCCTATTTATCTTGTTCATTCTGTACTCTATCATATTATTTGCAAAACATGAAAACTTCAGAATACAAGAGAAAACTTGAAGGGATATTTCCATTCATAAGCTTGTAAACTCAACTTCTTTAAAAATTCATGTGGATCAAAAAACATAAGAGAAAAAGAAAACATTTACAATGGACCTGGCAATTTTCTAGTTAAAATGTGTGTTACTTGAAGTAAGCATTAGAAATACTAAAGAACTTTTAGAAACCTGGATATATATATATATATATATATATATATATATATATATATATATATATATATATATATATATATATATATGAAGTGGAGATGGATTGGCCATGCACTGAGAAGGCCGACTGAGGACATCACGCGTCAGGCCCTCGAGTGGAATCCCCATGGGAAGCGACGAGTTGGACGTCCGAGGGTGACATGGAGGAGGTCGTGCGAGGAGGAAATGAGAGCTTCTGGGCTGTCGTGGGACCAGGTTCAAAAGATCTCAGAGAACAGAGTTCACTGGAGGCGTGCTACTGAAGCCCTATGTTCCACTAGGAACCCAAGGGACTAATAATAATAATAATAATATATATATATATATATATATATATATATATATATATATATATATATATATTGATACAGACTGATGAAAGGAAGTAGCCTAAATGAAAATCAACATTTTAAGTCATCAACCGCTAAAGTAGAAGTTATTGGATTTCAATTTCATATCACTGTGTGGTCATGAAAAACCTTATTGGACAATTTTATCCTATAGCTGACCAACCAAAATAAGTTATTTAACTTTTGACCTAGTGGTTTTGCGTGTTCATGAAAACTGTATATAAATGATATATTTTTATCGAATAAAGTGTCTTTCTTACAGTCTCACACGCCAACCTTTGTCTTATGACAATTTCGTGACTCAGTGAAGCATAAGGTACTGAGGGAAAATAGTTGCTGTTCGTATCTTATACAAGTGTCTCATTACGTTAGTATCGTTAGTATATTTTCCATTATTTCAATCGATCACTTCAACTGCTTTTGCTACTTATAATAAAGCATCATAATCATGAATTTAGCATCTCACTAGTGATAGGATGTATAATTAAGTCAACCAACCATATTCAAGACTATTAAAAACAGAGGAAAAGAACTAGTACCTTTTGGATAAGAGGTTGCTAGTGTGACTCAGTAGGCCGTAAAAAAAGGTGTTGTCAACAAAATGGTATCTTTCAGAGCGAGCAGTAGAAATGTTGTACGGGAAGTAAATTCAGCTCAAAAGTTCCAGGCATAAAATAAAACTGTTGGTTAGCGAAAATAACACAATAACCCATCTCTCCCTTAAATACGTTTAACGAATTTTAGTGTGAAAATAAATAAAAAAGCATTTCTTTAGCGATTTTGTTTACCTTGAATTCGGCTTGACTTTTGTGATTCAATACACTGCAAATAGCTGCGTAAATTCTCCTCCAATTGACTGACATCCCATGAGAGCTAAAGTTGTCGAAGGTAAACACAGTCAAAACATGCTCGTCTCTTGAAAAGAATTGGGAAAGTTCAAATCAAATAGTAAAATGTATTCACTACCTCATTAATTTAAGTCTTTAGCGTCTAACCAGTGGACCATGGGTTCAGACAGCACCCCTATCTTTAATTATCACGAGTAGGTCAATCGGTTGATGCACAAGCCTACACGTGGTTATTGAGCTGTGAGAGTCACGGACAATAGTTGGAGGGCAGCAGCGATCATAAAAGTGATGTTTTCATTTCAAATATTTCTAACCCCAAATTACATAACAGTAGAGCAGAAAAATACGCAATACCGCATTTGTATCATGCTCATTATGTGAAGAAATACAAATGTCTGAGCTAGGTTTTTTCTCAAATATAATAACATCTAAGAAATTCAGTGATTCATCACCCTTATTACTTATCTGCTTACAACAAATATCTCAAGTAAGACGAATCATGACCCGGTAGATAACGCTGTAGTGTTCGAAGTGATTGGTCACGGGTCCGAGTCTTAGTGGAGAGGTCACTCACTCGGAGACAGGCACATCCAGCTGATGAGTCCCAGATAGGACGAAACACGCGTCCAAGATTCCACTACCACCCACTATTTACTATTTAATATCAATATGAATCCATTTTCAGCCAGTTGGAGATGGAGATACAAAACGAATTTAAGGTAGTAAGAGTGAGGCAGAGAAGATAAAATGTGTACTCCTGAATAAAAATGTATTCCCTAGGACTCAATCATTCAATATAGATTACTATACTAGATCATGAGTTACATCTAAATCGTGAATGACTATGACACCATTCAGTTCCCCAAATCGAGGTAGGTTGGTTTGAGGCCATGATTCAAAGATCAAGTGCTAAGCCAACGAGTTATGATTTCGCTACGCTTGAGTTTAGTCAATAAAATTTTTCATACAGTTGTCTTCTAACTAATTCTAGTCCGGTCAATCAACTGTTGGCTACATACCTTGCAAAATAAATTGAGTCAAGATAATGTGACTTTTATATTTACAGTTGGATTTGATCCTATAGATAACCATACTGAAAGATACTTATACTTTTTCTTCATTTTACTTGGTACTGAATCTGTTCCAGGAGAGGGACAGACATAAGATCTATAGGATACTCGTTTGTTCACTAAAACTTTCTATCAGATGGCTTGAAATAAGTCATCGAAATAAATAGTTGGCAGTCCTTAACTGACTTCAAACACTTATATATCATCATGTGAAAGCTATTTTAAAAAGTTTGACGCAATCTGAAAATCTCTACAATCTTTAAATAGGTTAGAAGGATATAACTGCTTATTAGTTGCAGAACAATTAATTCATAACACTGGAAATTAAGAAGTTTGTTAAGTGAACTGAAATTAAGGTGAACAGTATTCCCACTTGTGTTTGCCCACATGGTGTTCTGTGTGTTCAACTACGTCGTGTGTCAATACACGCATTTTTATTCCTTTTGCCTGGTTAACTGTAGTACACTACTGATATAAAGTCATAAAAGAATAAACAATTAAAAAAAGAATCGAAATGTTTTATTCTAGTAATAATATGGATATTGGTTTCCATTGTTCGTACCTTTTTGGCAGAAGAGGCGGCAAAGACGGGACTTCAGGTGAATATAGAGAAGACAGAAGTGATGAAGATACTCAACCAACAACTCCATCAACAACAACAAACTCCAGTCACCATCAACGGGAGAAACTTAAAGGAAGTAACCTCCTTCATCTATCTAGGAAGCACTGTTTCAACTACAGGCCCACAGGCAGGCACAGACGAGGATGTCAAAGTCAGCCAGGATCGGAAAAGCAAGACAGGCGTTCATTAGCCTGAAACCAGTGTGGAGATCTTCTGCACTCCACTCAGCATGTGGAACAACATCCGGATTTTCAACACCAATCCAGTCAAGTCAGTGCTTCTGTATGGCTCAGAGACTTGGAGCGTTACCAAAGGCATTTCCAATAAACTACAAACATTCATCAACAACTGCCGCCCACGCTCACTCGCTACTGAAGATCAGATGGATTGCCAGAATAGTAAGAGTAAGCAACATGGAGCTCTGGCCTGCCAACGAACCAACGAAGCAAGAAGCTATCGCTCAACAAATTTGCACTGGAAGGAAGTGGAGATGGATTAAACGGGGCATACACTGAGGAGGCCGACTGGGGACATCACGCGTCAGGCCAGTTGCTCGAGTGGAATCCCCATGGGAAGCGACGAGTTGGGCGTCCGTGGTGAGGGTGACATGGAGGAGATCGTGTGAGGAGGGAATGAGAGCTTGTGGGCTGTCTTGGAGCCAGGTTCAAAAGATTTCAGAGAAGAGAGTAGAATGGAGACGTGCTAGTGAAGCCCTATGTTCCATTAGGAATCCAAGAGACTGGTAATAATAATAATAATTCGTACCTTTATCACCAACTTATTAATCTATGTATCAAAATACAGTGCTAGAACCCAATGCTTACTGAAATACATACAAATTTTTTTTTAGACAATGACATTAGAAAAGCGATACCACCTTCTCAATGCATGCAACCCGAAAGTCGAGTAAAAGTCTGTGCATCATTATCATCATCAAGATCAAAATAAGACCAGGCATTACCACGGCACGCTCCAAGTTCCCACACCTCACATCAGCACATCAAGTAACAAGGCAATGAAATGCGAGATAAAGAAAGAAAAATCGGTCAAAGGAAGCAGAAGTAGAAAAAAGGTAAAAGAGAGGAAGGAAGAACTAAAAAGATGATGGGATTAGGTAGAGCGGTTAAGATGAAGATAATGTGTACACATTTACGCTTCTGACATCGGACCACAGCCATATAATCTAGCCTCCAACAACTGGTTTCTCCACTCCCGTGGACCCCAACCGACTAGTTTGCACCACCCTACATGGCTAGAACGAACAATCAACAACTTCATGCATTGGTGTCATATTTTAGTCTGGGCCGTCCCGAGCCCTTTTCAAGCCTGAACCTACTTCGGTCAACATGCGACGAGGTAGACAGTGGCTAGATATACACAACAATTCCCAGCCAGCCATCTCAGTCGAAGAAAGTTCACCAGTGCACCGGCTGACTTACCTGTCCTCCTTGAAACTCTACACCTGACTTCCACGTTACTCACGTGGTGACAGCACGAAACACGGCCTATTCCACGAAGGCAAAGGTGGTCAAACACTTGAAGCATTCTCATGTCTTCTACGTTTAAATGGTCATGTTTCACAGCCATACTGCAGAACACAGAGAACTGCAGCACAATACATTCAGCCCTCAACAGACAATAGGATATCACGGTGGCGTCACAGATGGTGCAACTTGACAAAAGCCGGTGAAGCCTTTGGTATACATGCAGAGATTTTGCCAGCCACTGACTCACCACGCCTGGTTCAACTTCACAGGTAGGTGAAGTGTTCAATGCGCTCAACCACTTCACAGTCTATTGTCAGCCGAAGTATCGCAAAAGACAAGTCTTGAAGCAACAATTTGCATTTGGGTGGCGAGAAACGCATCCTAAAAATCCTCGAATTCCCACTCAGTGTGTCCAGAAGATTGCCTCTTTTTCAGCTTCCTCACCTAACAGGAATATGAAGATTTTGTAGATTTACCGAGGACTCTCCTGCGACTATATCAATCCCTGTGAAATCAGACGACGAGAGGGAGACCTCGTTAAAAACATCCATGTTAAATTTGAATGGAAAGGGCGAACATCCCTTGTGGACATCACTGGATGCATAGAAGTCATTTAACAACTCACTATAGGTTCTAATACACCCGTGCGTGTTCGAGCAAAACGCCTTAAACGGAGTGATGTAATTACTCGGTACTCCCCTCACAGTGAGAGGCACTGACATAAGACCCCTCGATCGATGGAGTCAAATGCTATCTTCAGGTCAAGGAATACAGCCAGTATGCGCCCCAAACAATGAATCAGACCTTTTTATGTGAAGGTTAGTGACAATGCTATCTGATAGGAAGGGGCCTAAATCCAAATCAGCATTCTAAGTCATCAACCACCAAGGCAGAAGTTTTAGATTTCAACCTTGGTTTCACGTTTCTCTGTGAGCGGAAAAACCTTATTGAACAATTTTTTTCTTCAGTTGATCAATCAAAATTAGTATCCAACTTCTGAACCAGTGGCTATTTTTTTTGAGGAAAAACGATATATAAATGATTTATCATTTTTTAAATAAAGTTGTCTTCCTTGTGGCCGGTGTTTGCCTTCTGATTTTCGTGGCTCCGTGAAGTATCAGGTCTTAGGGAGAACAGTCGCTATTCGTTCCTAGGTACAAATGTCTCATTGCATTGGTAACGTTTCTTGTATTTCGTATTATTCCATGCAGTCACTTCACTACCTAACCATCTAACATTGTAACACTAACAGTAAGTTGACTGCTACATCAATGAACCATAAGTTCATACTTACAATGTCTAGGTTCCGATTAGCTCATCTTTGACTAATAACGCCAACTCATGCAGTAGGATGTTCTCAATCGCCTATACGGAATTGTCCCATCTTGGACTTTCCAACCTCAAGACAAACAGATCGAATAAAATATGTATGGTTGTTAGCGTATATACAATAAAGAAATATTTATAGCCCAGTATACAATATTTGTGTTCTTAGTGAGCCTTAGCAGAGTGAGATCACTATACAGCGATACATATAACAATGATATGTATTGTTCATAAGATATGATAATGAGAATGTAATTATCTGAGATCATACCTGACCCAAAATTAAATTCAAAAATGCAACTTCTGGGATGCCCTCAGTGGAAGATGAAGCCAGTTTGGTACCATTCGAGTAAGTTGAACAAAGGTTGATCATATCTTCACCTAATCTACCTATGCATTGAAACAAAGAGAGAAAAAAGAAAGTTGAATACAAATGATATCAAATGACCTTGCTAAATATTCACTGAGAAATTTCAATTATGATAAAACTTCAATTTTTCCTCCTTGAAGTCATTCCATATTAGATTAGTCTATTCGATACAGAACATAGTGATACAGTATCCTAAGTTCTGTATTCAACAGACTAATTTAATATGGAATTACACTATTCCACACATCCCAAATTCTATACTTACACTATTAGCAGTCGATTTCCAACACGAAATTATGACACCTGGGAAAGAAATGGTAGGAATTGAAAAACACCGTTTCATCCTAGCCTATGTTTCTGCATCACTGAACACAAACTCCAAATGGGATGGAAATCAGTTTATCAATATTTAGTGGTTCACACTTTACTCTACACCTATTAAGTTGTCATATGATGGTCTATATTTCCACATTTTAGTTACTTTGAAATATGTCCTAATCATCAACCAGCACCGCTGCTGGGCATCCATTATTACAGCTTGATTTGATTTCAGATGAATTTACAGGTTTTCACTGAAAACTGGAATCAAATATCTCCCTTTGGTCTCGCTATTTCCAGTGCATCTTATACTCAATGCTAATCCATTTTGTTATCGTTTTCAATATGAATTCAACACACCTTAAAGGCATTCCTTCTTCAAAAACACATTTACAAAATATCTTGTTCCAATGAAACCAGATCCAACCTACTAGTAAGAAATCCTAGTTCACCTTTCAGTCAGTGAATGTAAAGTCAACGTTAAAACTTTAACATTAATGAAACATGTAAACATACCAAAAAGCATCTGCGCAGTGGTAACCACCGGGTATGACCCCTGTCACCACTTTTGCTTCAATTTATTGTAGACGTACTAATTTAAAATTCACTCTAAGTAATTCCAAATCGCCAAGAACCGATTTACTAGGAGAATATCTAGTTGACTTGAAGTAAACGACACTGTCCTGCTCGGTGAACACCTGGATCAGAAATGTGAGTAGGTTTCCGCTGTATTTTGCACCTGTCAAAAGTAAGATGATGCTCTAGGACTGGTCCATGGCTACCTCTACCTTCAAGATACGAAGTGAAATGGTAGAATGTATTGAACATTTTACCTGGGAAGTTGCAACAGCCTAAACGGGTTCCTTAGTGACAATATCTCAGCTTGGATACAGAAGCCTCACTCTGTATTTGTCAAATTACTTCACCTCTGGCACCAGTAAAATATCCAACTAACTACCACAAAACGAGTGTACTCTACAGTAGTCCACTTTGTCCTATTATATAGCTGTGACAAATGGCCGTTGAAAGCAGAAGATACGAAAAGGCTACAGATTCCTGACCACGGTGTCATCCTAGCAGCTTTGCACGCACGTAGGCGAATCATTATGTGAGCAGTGTCGAGGTTAGGAGTAGGGTACTAAGCGAGCGTGAAAAGTTAGTCGGCGAATTTGTGAGCCTTCACCATCTGAGGGGACTTGATAAACATGCATTGTGCATGTTGCATCATTGTCTACCTCAAAGTGTGGTGTAATCTGGAGTATGATTCGGCTAGGAGCTGCCAGGCCAGGATGTGACATAATTCCATGAAGTCTCTGATTGGTGATTTTATCCGTGTGGTGGAGAGTAGACTATCTGGTTAGGGCTCTAAAGGAGAAGGAATCAGTGGTTGGAGACTCTTGATGATATGGTTGAAAATCGGTAGCCATGGAGAAGTAGACACTGTTTGTCATCTTTAAAGTTACGCGTATTTTCATCCACCTTCATAAACTTATCCTCTAAACTCAAACATCTTTGTCTACCTTAATATCACTCTTTTTCTATCCACTTGTTCTTTGTATACTTCTGTGAATTGTAGTGAATTGATCGGATAGACTGTTTTGGGAGTTTCCACGTTTATTTTTTCTGTCTGTTTGTTGTCAGTGAAGTTGGAGAGGTTGTGGTTAACTGAATATAGGTAAAACAAAGCCCGTTGTAAAACGCATTGTGAAACAATATTCCTACCAATCAATTGATTGAGAAAGGAAATGAATTTCAAAACATATCTAACCATTTTTGATAGTTGGTGATCTTTCTTTCAATATGTTTCGTAATTTTAACAATCGAGTTTCCCAACTTTGATGTGCTACAACTGTATCATACTGCTCCCAGTGATATTGACCTTGTTCTATGAGTTTAATTAGATTTGATCCACCAGCATAAAGTGCACCTGCATTTAAGTAGTCCTCTGGGTTATCTGAATCCTACATTAGTAAACAAAATAAGAGGTTAAAAAAAAATTCCTAGGACTGAAAAGAAAGGTGAACAAGTAAGAAGTACCTAACCGAACAAACGAATGTGTAAAGATTATAAGTACACACGTACGCAAATGTAACTGAGTTAATTGTATTGGGGATATTTGGAGAACCACAGCAGAAACGGAGCACTGAATAAGTGTTACATCCAGATTCAGAATGCCTAAGAATAAATACTAACCAATTCTTGTGTAACTTAGTTCAGAGACAGCTCAAAAAGAGTCAAGAATTAAATATGATGAATAACTACTCATGACACTTAAAAGCTGAGAAACTATGTGACAGACCACCTCGAACAGGAACACATCAATCTACCGATTTAGTTCAATTAATTATAATATAGTGATATTACTTTATTATCTGAAAATTATTAGTGAATACTGAAAAGGGTTAAGTACCAGAGTAGAACGAAATGGATGTTTGTTATTCCCTTATTTACCATGCCTTTTTAATAATTGATGTCAATAATAAAGATAAAAAGTCCTTGAATTAGTATATAGACTTGATCTATGTAGACAGCAATTAAGTATACCTTCTAATACAGGTATTCCAGTTATGGCGACTTGGACCCTTATGCAATACTGCCTGGTCCTATGTTGATCTTGATGATGATGATGTATTCCAATATTCTCATCCAATGATAACTCAGAGAAGACATTTGAGGTTGAAAGGAAATCTGGATCACTGAAATTCGTAATGCGGAAATATGAAGTAATATAACTGGAATTCCCAATTCGTAATCAACTGCAGTTAAACACTAATAAATATACGTATTTATAGTAACATGGCTATAGTAGAATAGGACATGAATACAACTGTTACATTCATCTGCCCCTGTGACTTTCACCGAAGATGCTGCGTTATATACCACTAAAACACCTTCATATTTACAGCTCAAACCACACAGGTATTTGGTGATAGCTTCATTTGACCAACAGACTTGGTCAAACCTCCTAGCTGGGCACATCCAAAATATCGGCTCCAAGAATAGTAACTATGTATTCTGAAGGCTAAAAGACCACTGAAGTAACTACTCCTCAGATTCGCTACAATTATTGAGTACTGGATTCGATGGTCTTGTAAATGAGAGAAGCATAAGTGTTTGCATTGGCGACTGCACTACAATGCCGATCGAGTAACTAATCGAACAATCATGAGTTTATCGAAATCACCCTCAGATGGAGGACTTCGGTATTATACAAAATTATCGACTGAAATTCAGAGAAAATCCAAACTGTGATTTGATTTGAAAAATCTCCACTTAAGAAATTAGCCCACCAATTTGGCAATGGAGCAATGTGTAAGTCAACTGGGCTTAAGATTAGCTCCAGTTAGAGATTACTGTATCTAACTATTGAGTAAATAGCGTTTACCATGAGAATTATATCAAAATTCTTCAAATCGTTGTCTCCATGTTTAAGGATCATTCACACAGTGCTACACTCCTAATTTCGTTATTTTACATCATATACTAAAAATTAGGGTTTACCCCAGATTCATATGTTTTTTTAAAAACTGTTATTTGCAACTTGTTACACTCACTGGACAAATAGCCAATACTCGGCATTTAGGCATGAAAGTTAATAAGTTTGGCAGAACAACATGACATTCGAATTTGGGGATAAATTTTGTCTTCTTCTTTGTACACATATTTAGTGTGACCTGTATGTATTATGAGCAATGAAACAAAACAGGATAAAATGGAGAAATCAAAAAACTATTGGAGAGATGAGATTATTAATCTTATAAATAAAAAGGTTATTGACGCAATTCAACAATCACTTACAGGTTATCATTCCGTATATAGGCCGAATGGAATTCGGACCTTTGACTCAGTAGCCGGAATAATGTATTTAATCCGATAAGTTATAACTCCAATGATTTATTAAATCGGCGAAGAAAAACTAAGAAAAGAATGATTTCACCACCGAACCACTGAAAATCAGAGAACAGTGAACTACTGTTTCATTCCAGTTTGCGATTTCGCAATAATGTGCACCTAATATGCCATGGCCCCGTCAAATCCAGGACGGTTGAGTCTTGCCATGAGGAACTCACAACTCTGCTAATGGATTGAAATCCAATGAGGCGTATTTTCTTACTTTCTAAATTGAAAGTAGTATTTTTTAAATATACATCCTAAACGCAAATTGTTACTTCACAACTAGGATATGTCAATAGCTCGCTAACAATGAAAAGTAACTGAATGACTATGGTGATTACAACATTCAACTATAGAGTTTCATTAGTCCTGTTGAGCTTTTGGCCGATGAAATCTCGGTACACTCAACTGACACCACTTGTGAAGCTTGTGAGGAATCCGTATGCCTAGCAATAGTTGAAGTTACTGCATAGTTATCTGTCTCGTCCTAGTGTATGATTGTGAAGAATGGACAGTGAATGTATGAGACATTGATTTTCAGGTAACTGACCACTACTACCTTTGTAGCGTCACTCGCATTTAAAACTGAAATTAGGCATAAAACCTTAGTTAGATTAGGTAACTGAGTAATTAAGATTGTTAACATTTGTCGACCGTAGATGGAAAATGTTTAACATATGTATGAAATAGGGTTAGGCAGGAAAAAAAACCAAAGGTGGTTAGATCAAGAAGCGGTAGTTAGTATGAACTGTGTCACAAAATCCAGTCTTTCAAGCTTAGATCCAAAAGACAGATGAATACTAATGTTTAGAGATTCTGTGTTAACACGGAACGTGTATCAAAATTTTACTTTGATGTTAACATTGAGACTTTTTTCGATGGTGTTATGTTCTCTAAACTGGAAGGCTGATCTTTTCATATTTTCCTTTTTCTTTCTCATAGCTAGTATAACACGGATAAGTTTGTAAGGCACAGGCTCCATTTACAACAATGCTCCGAGACAATATCAAACGCTCATAATTAAATTGATGGTGCTTGAAGTGCATTCCAGTGCGAACATTAATACACTGGGTTGGAAATACATCCATTTAACGAGTCACAAATACTCATATCTTCAAAGATGACAAACAGTGTTTACATAATCGCTATCGCTACTGATCTTCAGCCATATCATCAAGTGTCCAACCGCCGATTCCTCCGCTTCGAGAACACTAACAAGGTAGTCTACTCTTCCCCATACGCATCATACCGACGGTCAGAGACTTCATAGAGTTATATGACACCTTAACCTTCTCAAAACCCAATCGTATTCCAGATTACACCACACTTCGAGGTAACTAGCCACTCAACATGCACGATACATGTCCACCAAGACCCCTCAGTCAGTGATCACTCAAAACTTCATTGACTGACTTTTCATCCTTGCCTAGTGCCCTACGCCTAACCTCAACACTGCTACTATGGTGACTCCCCATCAAAATATCCAAAGCTATTACAAAGACACTCGTAGTCAGGAATCTGTAGCCTTTTCGTATCTTCTGCTTTCAACGTCCATGCGTATAACAGGATACAGTGAACTGCTGAAGAGTGCACCTGGTTTTTGATAGTTAGTTGGATATCTTATTAGTGCTAGAGGTGGAGTAATTTGACAAATGCAGAGAAGGTCTTCTGTATCAGATAATTACATCCTTGTTCAGGTCTGCCTAGTCTTCCTGGGTTCATTGTTCGCAAGCTCAATTTATAAAACGCATAAACTATGATCCCTAGGATCTTAGATACCATGCTGGTCAGACTGATCCATCATCCATCCAAATCAAAATAGGACCAGGCATTAATGCGTAACGGTTCAAGTTGCCACACCTCATACCAGTACATCAAGTAAAAAAGGAGTGAAGTGGAAGATGAAGAAAAGAAAACCCAGTCGAAAGAAATATAAAGTACGAAAGGAGAGAAAGGAAGAATGAGAAAATGGTGATATTCGGCATAGCATTAAGATGAGGATAATGTATGTGGGGATACATCTGCACCACTGACATCGGTCCTCAGATATGTGATCACCTAGAGTCAGTCGCCAACCACTGGTTTCTCTTGTCTCGCGGACCCCAACCACCCAGTCTGCATCGCCCTACATGGCTCAAACCAACAGTCAAAGACTTCATACATTGATGCCGCCTTGAGCCTTTCTCCAGCCTGAACCTACTTCGGTCAACATTGCGTGACGAGGGAGACGGCAACTAGGCATGTGTAACACATGTCGGAGCCAACCATCTCAGTCGATGAAGGTTCACAACCATGTCAACTGATTTACCTCTACTCCCTAAAACTCTACACCTCAGCCTGACTTCTGCGTTACTCACGTGGTGACACCACGAAACATGGTCAATGCTACGAAGGTAACGATAGTCAAACACATAAAGCCTTCTCATGTCCTCCACCTTCAATGGTCATGCTTCACAGCCATAGAGTAGAACAGAGCGAACTGCTATGCGACCCTTAATAGACAATCGGATATCACGGCAGCGTCACAGGTGGCGTAAGTTGGCAAAAGCCAGCCGAGCCTTTTGTATTCGTGCAGAGATTTCCTCGACCAATGAGCCACCAGGGTTGATCCCACTTCCCAGATAAGTGAAGTGATAAACACGCTCAACCACTTCACTCTCTATTGTTAGCTGAGGCACTGTTGGAGACCAATCCTGGAGTAACAATTTTCATTTGGGTGGTGAGAAATGCATCCCAAACATTCTTAAATTCCCACTCAAAGTGTTTAGAAGACTCTGCATCTCATCAGTCAGCGTCTTCACCTAACAGGACTACGTCATCTGCATATTTTAGGTCTAACGAAAATTTCCCTGCGATTAGGTCGACGACTGTGCAATCAGATGATGAGAGGGAGACCTCTATAGGAATATCTATGATGAAAATGAATAAGAATGGAGAGAGTGGGCACCCTTGATAGACATCACTCGACGAGCACAGCTCCCCGGATATTAGCCATAGGCTCTAACACGCACACAAGTGTTCGAATAGAGAGTCTTCAATAAGGTGATGTACTTACTCGGCACACCTGTCAGTGAGAGACTGCCATAAGACTTCTCGATCAACGGAGTCAAGTGCAGTCTTCAGGTCGAGAAATACAGCTATTGTCGGGCGTCGGTAAGCGTGCCTGTGTTCTAGAACCTGGCGCAGTGTGAATATTTGGTCGATACACCCGCGCCCAGATCTAAAGACAGTCTGGTTTTCCCGGCCTTGCTGTTTCCGAGCTCCAATCAGGAGTCGAAGAATTGTAGAACCTAGAATTTGAGACACTATATTCGTCAGGCTGATTCCTCTGTGGTTATCACAAGAGGACTTCTCGCCTTTCTTGAAGACTGGATTAATCAGTGATTCCGACCGGTCACAGGGGATCGTATTTGTTTCCCATACACTATTTAACACTTCCGTTAACATGACTAAGAGCAACTTACCACCATCCTTGTATACCTCAGGAGTTAGTCCGTCTGGTCCTGCTGCCCTTCCTCGTTTCAAGTTACCTACAGCTTTCTCGACTGCTGAAAGTCTTGGGGAGCCTAACTTAATGTTCCATTAAGGATTCAGCTGGGAAGCGGGCAACACAATGGTGGCTGGAGACAAGCTAAACATTCCCTCAAAGTGTTCTGCCCATCGTTTCATTCATCTCCCGTCCTTCTCCGCTATAGCCTCATTAATAGTTGTTGACCTTTCCCCCCCCCTCCCCCAGTCTCCTTAATAAGTCTAACTGACTGTCTACTGTTACCAATCGCCTCTGCCTTTTCCATCTCTTTAGCCTTCGCTGTCCACCACTATTCGCGATCGTTGAGTAGACTTTTTCTTAGTCTACTTTTAAGTTGCGCTCGCTCTTCATTGTACTCAGAGCCTGCGGGGATGCATTCACGTGCATCCATTAGTTCGGAAGAAGCTGCTGATATCCACTGGCTTGTTTTAGCCACTCTTTCAGAGTCGGCTACGGTCTTCAGCCCTGCTTTTACAGCAGACTGAAGATGGCATCAAGCTTCTTCTGGATGAGTGAGTGAAAGTCTTCTGTTCCGATGATAACTGCCTAGCCAATTTCTCACTGAACATAGCTTTGGCGTTTTCGTTGTCCAGAAGCACTCGTAATGGCTTTGTTGCCAAATTTTTCCCACGCCCATTGAGACGCAGGCATATACGAGCTCGGATCAACGCGTGGTCGCTATCCAAACACGTGCTCCAGAAGGAGTGGCAGTCTTCCACCGACCCTCTCCAGTGATGACTAATAGCAATGTGGTCTATCTGTGTCCATCGCTGAGTTGAGCTTGGTGGACGCCACATCAGATAGTGTCTTTCTTTGTATCTGAAATTTGTGCTTGCTAAAAATAAGCGGCTATCTGAGCACAGTTTTAGTAGGCAATTACCATTATCCGTTCGTTCAGCCAGATTCCAAAAGTGCCATAGTGGAATGAACAGTGATCTGTATCAGTCTAATGTGATTGCTTCTATACACTACCTAATGTATCCGTTATTCCAATCAGTAATTTTCTACTTTCATCCTTAAAAATTCCTGGTGGAAAACCGTCAGATCCTGCTGCTTTGCATTGCTTCAGGTTCGAAATATTATAATTTTGAGGACAGCTGGAGGACCGACATCTATGTCCCACTCAAGTTCAAGCTGGATGTTGGACAATTGAAGCGTTGTTTTGGGTCAGTTGAATTGTGCTTCAAAGTGTTTCGCCCAATGTTGAAGCCGCCAGTCCTGAAGGGTTATCAGTGATTCATCCGTTTTCGGTGATCAGAAATCAAAATCGACCCACCCACATGAAAAACGCATATGAAAGAGACTAGTCTATTTAGTAATGTAAATAAAAAGCACTGATGTATAATCAGCACTAATAACATTCGTAAAGTAGTAAATAGCTATGGATACGGATATGCTACTCTTACGCACAGAGATAAGACGAAATTAATTAGTGGATTCTTTACTGTAAGAACAATAAAAGATCTACAAGCTGTTCGATAAATGTGCTACACAGGTGAAGTAGCCAAGTAATAATTGTTGTGATCAAGAATATGATTTAGCCTTGAAAAAAGAGGGTAAATTAAGAGTTGACACAAACGAAACTAAAGTTTACACCAATTAATAAAACTTTATTAGCTGCCTATCAACCTTTATTTAATTCCAGATTATATAAAGTGCCTAAGTTTTATTTTTACACTACTTCAACTTTCGTTTACCCTTGATTAATCGTTCTTTTAAAATCTAAACGTCAGATCACAACTAAGTTATCTGGGTCATATCTCTGCATATACGTGACTGGTTTGCTTCATTAATGCTTCTGGGTCTTGGTATTGTTGGAATATGTACACTTTTAGGTTAGTAAGCAGTTCAGTCTCTTGATGCCTACTCGACTCAGCCTTGGGTTGGCCATCATTCCGTCATGGCGAGTAAATTGTACCAAATTATGAGCTAACGTAATGAGTTCAACCACCTAGTTTAATGTGCTGTCAATCAGAAATCATAACAGTAATTTCCGCCTGCACATTACGATCATAACAATAAGAACATTTTAAATGTTTAGATTTAAAGAAATTTAATGTCAAAAATGTCTTGATTCTTGTTGTATTCAAAACATTCAGTTTGCAAACCAAATGAATGACAACTGTAACAATCAGCAAGTTACCCCTTATTTCACGAAAATACAACTTACATTGTAGACATGCTTAGAGGTGCAAATACTTTACTATAGTTGTAGGTGTACTTTGAGCTCCTGCAACGAGATCTAGAAACTTTATGATAAGCAGTATATATCGCTTTTACAGTTTACAATAATACTGCAACTCAACAATCACGTGCAGCTTTTTGTAATAGATTATGAAACATATATATCTATATGGTACCCTGGACCTTTTAGGTGAGTTAGTTTCAAGCCACAACCCTATGGTAAGTAAAGGGCCTAGTGAATACATAAATGAGACTACCTCATTTTTAACCCATCATTTGTAAATCCAGTGACAGACAACATCTTAGTTCTTCATTCTCTTCGGATATCAGGGGGATTAATCTACTTATAGTAATTCCTTGTGATGATCATTATTCCTTGGGAACTTAAGTGCATACTCTGCGTTAAGTTTTCGCGACATCTTTATCCTTTGGCATTCCTCACCCAATTTAATCTTCATAATTATTATTAGCTGGCAGATTATACGAAATTTAGCAAATAGTCGTTAAAATATACATTGGACAATAATTCTTACCTTAGCTATAACCGCATTACCCATACAATCATACATATCTGGTTGAGCACTTTCCCGTAACATTTCAACAGCCTCTGATAAACTGTATTTTTTTGGTTCGAATTCAGACACTAAGTATATATCAGAAGTTGGAATACGACCCTTGAGAATTTCTAACTGGCCCATTTCTCTTTCCCATGCATTTCGATTGGTCTTTATAAGTAATTCTCGAGCTGCATTTCGTCTAGTCTTAGATTTTTCATTTACAGTGACTTTAGCTTCACGATATCTTGGTCTGTTGTGATTGAATAACTGAGATGTTGACAAGGTTCGAAGGGAATTGAAAACTGCTACCGGCTGAATCTGAGGATAGCCATGACCAATTATTTTCTGAAACTGCATTTTACCTTCAGGAAATACACATGATAGAAAAAAATGGCATTTGTTAGCATAAAATGTTTAAACACACAATGCGTAGATGAAGAACAGTAAGGTAATTAAGATTTATGTGACGATGATACGTCTGTGCGACTGAGGTAAATTTCAAGGAATAGCACCTATGACTTGTAACCAGTGATCGGTTTTTTGATCTCATCTGTGATTCCTTACATCACTCAAACCAATAATCAATAAATTATTAACTTGACGCCTTATTTTATTTTTGTACTAAGATTTATCTAACATAGATCCACATACGAAAGGAAACTGAGAATCATCTTAACTAGTTACTACCGAACAACTATTGTGTGACGAAGGTTTCAGACATATGAAGTAAAAAGTGAACCACCTTGACATAGATGTTGTCGAAGAGTTGACTGTACCTCATCACATTATGAACACTACGAATAACAAATACCATTCATTTCTGTCAGTTTTTGAAGTTCATAGTTGGTTAGCACAAAAGAAAAGATAGAGTTACGAGGAAGAAGTGTAGAGACTTAGACAATTTTATCACTGTGTCACCAACACACTGATATAGATATCGACGCAGCTAGTGTACTAATAAAGGATTACATCACTTTTGTCAACAGATGTACAAATGTCAAACACTCGGTGAGTTATAAATTCGCTTTCGATGAGATGAATCACATCCTATCGACACTATCTTCACTAACCAGATAATTAGATCAACTAAACAAATATGGTCAGAAGGATTAAAATAGTTTGATAGGTTCAGGCCTTCACTATAATTCACTACTCAACAACAACCACATTAACTTCTAACAATCCATTAAAAGGTAAACTAATAAATGGAAGAATATACTATAAGTGCAGATAATAGACACTAGATAAGATATCTCACCCTGCCATCAGCCATCATGTTCAATACTCATGTTTCAAAGCAAAAAGGGGGGAAAGGCGAAAATAAGGCAAATAAAAATGAAAAGATGAGATACCAAGTGTGAAAATAAAACAACCATCGTAGAAAGTGCAACACATTTCCCCGCTCAAAACCTTATCACCACCAGTGTCGTTCAACCTCTCCCGAGAGTGGTGTGGTTTCTTCCTACGCGTCTAATCCAACCTCCCCCCCCCTCCGTGAAATATTTCTCTTTTCTAAATTATTTTGAGCCCAGAACTCAACAAATTTTCCTCTTTCTGTCTACCTTTTCCCATGGTATTTTCCAAACTTCAATCTTAAATATTCGCAAACTGTCGCTTGTACTTCCCTTTACGGAAAACCCAAATGAGATGTTGAGGAAGACTTTAACGTGTTACGTAGGTTTAACATCGATTTTTCTGAAGCCCGTTTGGTTATTTTTTCGTAAAGAATATTGGGACACAATCATTTAACTTAAAGAACATGTCTAATATACATATTTACATAATCCACAAGTGGTCCGACAGATAGCTGCTACCCTGACGTGGTGGTCAGGCTTGGATGTCACAATGACCCAAAGGGCTATGGTAGTGGAACGCTTGTTCCCTCGAGGTCCTACCGTGCCAGAAATATATGTGGGATAATGGTACGACGAAAAGTAATTACCGTTGTAGTGCAAATTATTACACTTTGATAGGGGTCTGAGGGTGAAGTCATACTCCTGCTAGCTGGATGGGGTTTGAAAGTAGTAAGGTGTTTCTCTTGGATGACTATCAGTGCTACGCTGATGCTGCCTTACCAACGCGTAAGAGGTGGTTTATAAAAGGTCGGCCTCAAAAATAACACACTTCACTACGCCCGTGGTCTCCCGGGTGCTGGCGGTGTTAGAACAACCAAACCTCAAAACAAAAACCCCACTAAAGGCTGTGTGTAACAGGCCTTAAGTAGATTCTCCATGTACTCTGAGGTCATACAAATCTCTTTTTCTTTCAGATACCTTAAGAAGAAACAGCTCTCCATGATGTGGGGAGCCGGGAATTGTCAACCACCCGCACACTCCCAGTAGTGCACAAGACCCTATCCTCCTCAACTCTGTCTCCTCCTTTCCCTTTACCTCCTGATACTTATATGAGGCCTCTAACTCCCCTACCTAGCCACACACTCAGAAAACATTGTCAACGATCAGAACCATCGAAACCTCATTCCTAGTCTCCTAAGATCCTACCATAGATCTCATGTAGGAGCTTTCCGAAATCTATGCCAAATCGAACACTAAACGCCACTCGCTAAAACTGGAATACCTAGCCATGGACTTATGCTGTGTCTCTGAGACACGTATACAGGACCCGAATGTGATCATTAAATTGATTTCACAAAGCCATAGTGGTGAATCTTCAAAATTTACCATAAGAGTATCCGAAAACATAATGGCTAGCTCCCGTGGACTCTCTGCTGTAGGCACAGCAATGAACTGTAGAGCAGAACGTGTGCTGGATACCAGTCATTAGCCGTTTATGTGCTGTTCAGATGAATGGATCTGTAAAGACTAAGAAAGATCGTGAGATTAGGCGATGGACTCACCGACTAGTTCGGATGACGCAAAGGGTGAATTCTATAAAAAAACTGCCAACTTCGCTACAGAAACCAAAACGTTCAGATGTAGTCGTAATAGCAAATGACTTTAACGCTCAAGTAGGGAAGCTGAGCCAATCGGAGAGGCATCTTGAGTGTATTTACGGAATTCCACGTCGACAAACCGACAACGATGATCGTCTGTTGCAATTTTGTTCCAACAACTACTTGTTTCTGGCCAGCACTAACTTTAGGCATAAGGAGGGACACCGTCTCATATGGTGTATGACTTCAAACTATTGACGGACACGCATAGATAAAATTGCAGTAAGCCATTGTTGGAAAGGATCTGTGGAGGATTTCCGCGCTTTCTGGAGTACCAGTTTGGACTCCAATCATGCACTAGTATAGGTTCCTGTATGTCTGTGCTATACTGGTAGCAGGAAACGGACTGTAGTAAACCTGCCCATGGTCTATTGGAGGATGAGAACATCAAGTACCCATTTAAGGAAGGGTTAACTAGGCATTTATCTGAACATAACAGCATTGCTCATCCTGAGGAAACCTGGAGTGATATTGTCTGTTTTAGAAACACAGGTAAAGACAACTAGTAAGCTATATCCAAAGATTAGCAAACGTTATTAGATTTCCCCAACGTCGTCTGAACTGATTGATGCAAGAGGACTGATTCCAGCTGGCTCTAACCACGACGAAGATAGGAAGCAACTTAAACGCAAGTTGGCCAAGATTCTTTGTGTCAGCCACGAGCAGTGGTGGGTGACGAGAGCGCGAGAGATGGGGAAGGCATCAGTGTTGGGTAACACTCGGCAACTACTTAGGTTTCTTAGGCTACTTAGTGGATTCCTTCCAGCAATCTGGGATTCTCATAATACGTGATGCTTTAAACATTACGACACTCGATAATTTTCTCACATGGAAGATGAGCCCTTTCGGCCTGTGGAGATGTCCTGGTTATTATTCATGGGTTTCCCGTTGCAATTATGACATTATCCTGCTTACACACTGTGAAGGTGGTACCTTAGTATGAAATTCTTTACGTTATCTGCTGTTACTTCTGATTTTGGATGAAATTCTCGTTTGATAGATTTCTAGCAGCAGGGATGGATTTCGAATGTACAGAGATTTCAGTGATTACTTTACGAAACCCTCTTTATGTAACATATCCAGGATGACGAAGCTACTTCACAACTGCCGGAGATGAAATGCAAACAGTAAGCATTATTTGACCTAACAGTTACATCTCATGGGTTTGCAAGAAGAAAGATAGTGATTACACATACGATTCTGTTGATCTGGATATCTAAAATCTCCAAAGAGCTTGTAAGGTGTCCACTTATTCAAACGTCAATGTCATGCCTTTATCGCTTATCAACAAGTAACCTAATTTATGGGGTTTAATTTCAATATAGCATTTCATGAAAACCGCAACCACTACTTTTGTCGTCACCAGTTTTAAAACAGTATTGCCGAATGTATGAGTTAACACGCTCACTTGCGGACGTTTTCCACAGACAGGCGACCCTGGATGAAATACAGTTTAGGACTAATTAGTTTATGATTAAATACAATTTGCAACTGTTTAATAACTTCACTCAGGACTGCAAGAGGAACATATTCAGATGACGAAGCAAATGTTTTCGTTTCTGAAAACTATACACAGGGGAAAACCAGGACCAAAAGGTACGTCGCTGGGAGACCACTATAAGGGTTTTCCATTCAAGACAGAACAAGAGGTTGTTCCTGAGGCGTCACTGAAAAGACGAAGATTTCACTGATACATTCGTAACGACAAATGTTTCATATCTTGCGTTTCAAACTGTAAAAGTGAGCAGTAAGATTACGAATGGTGATAAAGGCTCACTGAAGTATATGATTACTGGAATTTTATTTCCGGGATTAGCAAAGCAGCATACTTTACAGGGAGCATCTAAGAAACTAGTCACGAGTAAATGCGGTTTCTACAAGGTTTTTTGGTGTAAGAATATTTTCTGATAACTTTTTGCCTCGGTTATTAAAACTGGGGGATTTTGTTGACTTTTGCATGGCAAAACACGAACCACAGAAACAGTTGGGTGACTCAACAGAAACTTTCTTCCACGATCTAAGAGATAGGCTCACGAAACGTTCTAGCGGGTGTCAAATAGTAGTAAGTGTTCTTATGTTATTCGGTTGGCCTAATTTGACAACTGCACTAGTACTTATGCAGTTCGACGAAATAACTGTTTTCTTTGTAGACTGCAGCGATAAGGAAAACGGCGAGGATAGCAATAGCAGTGTAATTTTATAACACCGACTGTGATATACACTTATCATCACTACTACATTTATAGCTCTTACCACGTATCGTAATGCTGCTCTCTACTTTTCCCTTTTGCACGAAGCAGTAACGATGGACACTAACTTATTGAAAACTATTGCATGATTGCTTTTTAGTGTGCAAAGGAATCATGCATAACTGCGCTTTAAGTACAACATTTATGGACTACGTGAGTATGTATATTAGTCATGTATTTCACAGAATGTAACTGTGCACTGATATTTGTGATAACCAAATGGGTTTCAGAAAACAGACCTGCGAACCTGAGGATTCGGCAGTGACTGGTTTTGAAGCCTTTATGGGCTGGGACGAAGATTGAGTTTGGTTGTTTCATGGTCTTAAACCATAACGTCAAGCAGGGATAGGACTCAATGCCTTTGAGTGTCATAGCTGCTCGAACACTTGCGTCTCCCAGACAAAACATTGAGTCTCCTAGAAACGATTTAGCACCCTCATGCCCATACCACAATTAGATATTGTGTCGATCCTTACATCCCGAAATCCGGCGCATAGTTTATGGTCATCGCTTCGGCATAGCACCAGATCTAATGGGCCTAGCCGAACACAGTCCAGACACCGGAAGGAATACGTAAGCTTGCCCAGCTACTTGTTGGATATGAAATGTACTGTCGCAAATCTCGACGGGATTCAGACTTAGAGGCGTTCAGTCTCAATCCCTCAGATGGTAGCTTCCCATCATTGGACTTCCGACTAGACACATCAATTGTCTGATCCTGAGGTTCCTCTCGTACTAAACAGGATTACCATAGCAACGACTACACTGTACTTCACTGGTAAATGTACTCATTAGTAGGGTGAAACTAATCTGTCTCACAACGGTCTAAACCCAGCTCACGTTCCCCATTAGTGCATGAACAAACCATCAATTGGTGAATTCCTGAAAAAAACTCACCAAGCTTATTAGTGTAATAAAGATAGAAGGGGCTAACATCATTGCTCTCTTATAAAAGTGGTTCTCTTCTGAGATTAGAGGCAGTGGAAGATACTTACAAGGACTAGTTCTTTTTAGAAGTGATAGGTTAGCATGCAGAGGTGGTGGTGTCAACCTTTACGTAAAGAATACCTTAACCGTAAGAGCCATAGAAAAGGTTCGATACGAAAGTGGGACAAGTGAGATGCTACTCTTCGACTAGAATCCAGGGACAAGATATTAACTTAGTAGCAATATATCGGAGCCTTGAATGTGAGTCAGAAGACCTCCGGAATAAACTGACTCTATGGGCAGATGACTGGAGATGCTTTGTTGTAGGAGACTTCAACGTACCATCAGCTAACTGGGACAGCGTAACAAAAAAAGCACCAACTGATTCGTTTGATTATAAGTTAGTGGAAACATCAATTTCCTTGGCCCTTATGCAGCACATTGGGGCAGCAATCCGAAACAATCCTATGCATGCGTCATCAGTTCTAGACTTGGGTATTCTCTCACACACATGATGTAAGCTTCATCTGGCATTTTGCACCCCATGATGAGTGATCGCGCTGTGATTATCTTCAGAATCATAGCAGCCGTCTTGTGCCATGCCGAGGTCCCAGTTAGATCAAACGTATGGAAACCGAAAATGGCAGCTATTAACTTGGGAAGTCGATTCAGAGGCTACATTTGAGACTACATGGTGCCCCTTCAAGCAGTTATATGCACAAGTGACTCAACCATTCATTTCATGGGCTACTCTGGAGGGACGAAAACGTCGTCCTCCGTGGATAGACCACAAAATCCGAGGTGTTTGAGTCTTGACACTCACCTCAGTGCTCCCTAGGTGGAAAAAAGTTACAAAGAAACCCGAAATGTATCGCTGCTATTAGCTGGTCCCAAATATGCTCCGAAACATGTCTTGCCAAAGTTGTGCTGCACTACCCGGAGATTATTTTCTCACATAAACTATAGAAATAAGACGTATCGTGGTACACCTACCCTAATAGAAGAGACAAAAATTAAATAAGATGATACAGACAAAGCAGAAGCTATAACTGAATATTTTGCTGTGGTGTCTATCCAAGAACCTTCTATGGACACTAATTCAACAGTAGAAGCCTTGACATCAAACAGATTTAACTCTGTGGACATCGACTGCAATGATCTATTTAAGACATCAAGTTCTCTGGATGTAGAAAGATCAACAAGACTGGCTGAGCTGCACTTAAGGCTGTTTATAGGACTTGAACTCTATGTAGCTGGCCTATTGACTGCTATATTTAGACTTTCCCTCAGTGATGGCACACTCCCCTATAACTGGAAGGATACCGCGGTCACGCCTATCTACAATGCAGGTTCCAGGTAACACCCATCAAATTATAGACTTATGAATTGTGGTGAAAGTTCTATGAATGGTAACCAAGATAGCCACTACATTTCACTTAGAGAGCAGCAATAGTATCTCATTCGTAGCATGGTTTTCACAGAAATTTCTCCTACTTGATGAACCTTCTTACAGTCAGAGGTGGTTAGGCTAAGTCTAAGGATGGTAGGCAACCAACAACATCAACAACATGCATCAATCACCATGGACGGGAGAAATATAAAGGAAGTTGGCTCTTTCACCTACCTAGGCAGCATCGTTTCAGCTACAGGCGGCACAGGCACAGATGAGGATGTCAAAGCTAGCATCGGAAAAGCAAGACAGGCCTTCATCAACCTGAAATCAGTGTGGAGATCTACTGCACTCAGCACAAAGAACAACATCCGGATTTTCAACACCAATTCAGTTGAGTCAGTGCTTCTATATGGTTCAGAAACTTAGGGCGTTACGAAAAGCATTTCCAACAAACTACAGACATTCATCAACAGTTGCCACCTACGCTCACTCGATACCGAGTATCGATCAGATGGCCAGAATAATAAAAACAAGCAACAAGGAACTCCGGCCTGCCAACGAACCAGCCAACAACCCATCGCCCAACAAATATGCAGAAGAAAGTGGAGATGGATTGGATTGGACATACACTGAGAAGACAGATTTGGGACATCGTGTGACAGGCCGTCGAATGGAAGCCAAATGGGAAACGACAGATTGGGCGTCCGAGGGCGACATGGAGGAGATCGTGTGAGGAAGAAATGAAAGCTTCTGGGCAATCTTGGAGCCAGGTTCAAAAGACTACACAGAAGAGAGTGAAACGGAGACGCGCTACTGAAGCCCTATGTCCTACTAGGAACCCAAAAGATATTTAATAGTAATAAGGATGGTAGGACACGTGTAGATGTCCTTTTAAAAGAACTTAGTAATGCGTCCGATAAGGTACTTCATTCTAGGTCGCTCACGAAACCAGTTTTGGAGTCATCGGCAATCTGTTTGTATGGATCAGAGTTCTTTGTTGGCAGGAGACAAAAACTAAGGATCCATCCTCAACTCTCCTCTTGGAAGTCGGCAGAAAGTGTAATACCGTAAGGCACATACCTGAGTACGATACTGTATATCCTACACATAAATGAACTGAATATCACGAGATCCCCTATGGTTCTCTACACAGACGACGTAAAGAATGAATTGAAATGAACCTCATCTTTTTATCCTACAGCAGACAGAGCGGAGAACTAATCATGCGACACAGGATTTTAAGAAATGACTTTGGACCTGATCTATTTTCTTTTTTCCTTTCCACTAGGTTGGAACCCCTCCAAGGACACAATAGAAGACAAAAGCAAAAGACGAACGTAGCCCTCGCCTCTAGTTACAAACTAATAATATCGACCTCCAGAAGAAGTGGTATCCGCGTCATTAATTGAAACGTTCAAAAGAGGACTGGACAAGCACAGAGATCTGTTACAAAGGGTTAATATTGGCTCATACTCTTCGATCCTCAAGCAACAAACCTGGAGTCATGACTCTGAAATCTATGTTTTCTCAAACATAACACTTATGTTTCCCGTATACGAAAATGATAATTTGCCAATATTTAAGGTGGGAATTGAGGAAATATTACAGGAAAAAGTAGACAAGTGAGATTTTAGTGGACTGTCAGAGTGAAGGGGTAGTGGGGAACCTTGAGAGGTATAGAGGGGGAAAATATGTCCTGTTTCTTCATGGTGGTATCTGATTGTGAGTACTTACTGCACTACTTCGTCGCTCTTACGGTGTTTATTCGCTTCATTTCTCTGTTTTGGTGCGCTTGAGTGGGCAACCAATTTCCGTCAAGTATACTTCTAATGTTGCTCAGGTGTGATAAAATCCCTTAGAATTGCTATTTTTATTTCTAATCTTGAACATGATGCAGCGAGTCAGTATTATGGTAGATTTACTTTAAACCTTTCACTAATATTGGAAAATTGTAGCGCATCTTACAACTAGCCTCTTCTGTCTACAGTCCAACATCCAACAGCAATAGTGCAAGTAGAGAAACTTGTAGCTTTTGAGCTCTTGCTTCTGGGTCTTGAGACTCAGTTATTTTTGTTCGGTAGTGCTCCTTCGATGGTAGCAGAAGTCTTTGCGTCTTCCTGCTTATAGCTTTAGAGGTAGTGATTGTCTAGCTGAAAGTATTTTATTTGCAAGTTGTAGCTTGGTTTGTGTTGGGGGGGGGGAAGCGGGGCTGCTGATAAGGCCAATCAACCGTCCGTAAGTCCTGTTGTTGTAGGCAACGGCAAGTAGGTGTTAAGCGTTACTAAAAATGTGATAGAAACAGGGTGAGTGGAGAATGAGAAAAAGGGGAGCGAAAAGTACTCATGAAAAGATAAATGTAACTGGCAATAATGTAGAGGAAAGATGCATCCTGTTGCGGATACTAGGGTCGGGAATACAACGGTGGAAGGGCGTATCATCGGTGGCTACTGACAAACGTTCGTGGTAAGCCATTTGAGCTCATATTCTCATCCAGTAGTCGTTTGAAGGAGTCGACTGATGTAGCTGTGGCCACTTCCTTCAGCAGAGCGCTCCATAAGGCACATGCTTTGAGGGAGAAGACGTTAAATCCCACTCTCGTCTCTGCCGGTTTTGGACCGATAACGTTGATATATTCGGGTGGTCCACTTGGTGAATGATCTTGTCTGCTATCAGGTCACCTCTTTTCCCTTGATAGCTTAATGTGAACAAGTTGGGTTGTCTGAAGCGTAGAGCATATGTTTCACCTGTTAGTCCGACAAGTGACTTTGCTGCTCTTCTCTGTGTCTTCTCGAGAGTATTTGCATCCCTCTTTAGTACTGGGGGGCTATCGTGTTGAACACCTAGGTGGGCTCTAACATGTTTTAAATATCATAAGGAATAATTCTGGGGTTAAGATCCAAGCTGCCTTCTTAGAAAATGCATAATGGTGTTTGCCTTTGCTGCCATTCCTTTATAAACGCCAGTAGTATCCAGTGTGTCAGAGAATTTTAGTCCTAGGTCCTTCTCTGCGGATATCTTGATGATTGCACACTTGTTAACAGTGTAGATGATCTTCATCGCCTTTGGTGTGCGAAGATGCATCACCTTGCATTTCTCCTGATTAAAGCTTAAATCATTAGCAGCTAACCAGGACTATAGCTGCAGCAGGTCGTTTCCGAGTATCCTGGCCTCCCCTCCGTCACCTGTCGTCCTCAATATTTTGACGTCATCGGCGAATAAGAGTGCAGTGTCATACACTTCCCCAAAATCAATAGCCTAGGGTTTGACGACTTCGACATTGATGCTGACCTTGATAGTTTAACTGGACTCGCTAAGCTGAAGGCACCCGGTCAAGCATCCTCGCCATTTGGCACGCTGTCGTGTTACGTTGCATTGCTCGTATTCGACTCTCTAGCCAGTTAGTTGGAACGCATCGGTATTTTGGCATAACCATCCAAATATACTATTCCATCCGACTACGCTATCGTGTTCTTCCTTGGTCTCGTATTCGTGGGTATATAACAAGTTCGAATAATTAGTGATTGGTCTTTGCGTCTGTCAAGTTCGCACCAGGACAAATCCTAAATTGGTGAGCCCGACGTGATCACATATCCCGACCAATAACAAGTATTGAATTGGTGAGCCTGTTCCATTTTATATTTGTTTATTGTTTTCATTTCGATAACATTTATATATCCATTTACTACACTTTCTCATGTCCGACCACACTCCCAAGCTTATTCGTATTAAGCCGACACGAACACGATCCAACTCGTGCCATATTGGCCAGACAATGCAGAAACATGGTTTCTGTATGCCGAGGCCGATTTTCGAGAACAGGGTGTCTCAGATCCTCATCTCGATTTCTTGCTGTCATACGTTCACTACCGCGAGAATTAAACAGGTATGTTACAGCAAACATGTTTAATCCTGAAGTAAGTGACCCTTATGCACTTCTAAAGGCCGCACTCTTGAAGAAAAGCGATCTCACAGATCGCCAACGTCTAGACGAATTGCTTCGTAACATCGAGCTAGGCAGCCACTCAGCTACTGAAGTCCTCGCACGCATGCGAGAAGTAATCGGTGCACGAACATTTGACGATGGTTTCTTCCGAGAACTATTTCTCTCGAAACTACCACAACCGGTGCAAACCGTGTTGGTGACACTCCAGTCAGTCCCACTCGACGACCTGGCAGCCTCAGCAGATAAAATACTGGAGATATCCAGCAGACCCGTCTCCAACGTATATTCTATCTGCGACAAAACAGAGCGCCAGGATTCGGAGGTGACCAAGTTGTGCAACTCTGTGAAACGGTTGCTACGATCTCGAAGTCCTAGATCACGTAGCACTTCACAGAAACGCACCTTGGCGCATCGCAGCAAGTCGCGTGGTAGCCCTAAAACGAAACCCAACAGGGTGGAAAACCCTGAATGGTGCTGGTTTCATAACACTTACGGGGATGAAGCCAGAAAATGTCGTAAACCATGCCGTTTTAAGAAGGACACAAACTCGGGAAACGGTCACGCCGGCACGTGCTCACGGCAACCGTAGCCGGCGGAAAAAGCCGTTTGCTCTACGTCACCGACATTAAAACGAAAGTCCGCTACCTCGTCGACACCGGCGCAGAAGTTAGCGTTCTTCCAGCAACGACAAAGGAGCGTCATCTCGACCCATCCTTCAATCTTCAAGCAGCCAACGGCAAGGCAATCGCGACATTCGGGAGACGGTATGCCTACCTCAACTTAGGTTTACGCAAACCTATTCACTGGATTTCCTCCTGGCAGACGTCTCTATGCCCATCATTGGCATAGATTTGCTGAACCATTACGATCTACTCGTAGATGCTCGCCGTCGACGACTGATAGATAACAACACAAAGTTATCTATTGGCGGCACCACCTATGTAGGTCCGAGTTTAGCCATCGTTAGGACTAAACAATCAGGCGACGCGTCCTACCAGGCAGTTCTGGAGAAATATCCAGAGTTACAACAACCGAAACACACTCTTCCGTGCATAACCAGCAATGTTATGCATCACGTCACAACCACAGGTCCACCTGTGGCATCCAAAGCTCGCCGTTTAGCCCCCGATAAGCTGCAAACGGCGAAAAATGAATTCGACCATATGCTCGAACTGGGCATTATCAGACCGTCAAACAGTCCTTGGGCATCGCCATTGCACATGGTTCCCAAAAAGGATAGCAACGACTGGCGTCCGACCGGTGATTACCGAAGGCTTAACGCCAAAACAACTCCGGACTGCTACCCTATACCCACGTTTACGACTTGACCGCAACCTTATGCGGCATGAACATTTTCTCGAAAATCGACTTGGTCAAAGCGTACAACCAGATACCTATGGCAGCAGAAGATATCGCGAAAACAGCCATTATTACTCCTTTTGGCCTGTTTGAATTCCTGCGCATGCCTTTTGGTCTTCGGAATGCAGCACAAACATTCCAACGCTTTATGGACGACGTCTTCCGTGGTCTGAATTTTGTTCATGTCTACATCGATGACTGTCTAATTGCGAGTCCAGATAAGGAAACACACCTTAAACATTTGGACCTCGCATTCGAAAGACTCAAAAAACATGGCATCACAGTTAACTTACAGAAGTGTGAAATAGGAGTTGAATCACTCAGCTTCCTTGGGCATACCATTGACAACAAAGGTATACGCCCATTGAGAGATAAAGTGGCGGCTATCACAAACTATCCAGAGCCGACCACTGTGAAACATCTCCGCACTTTCAATGGCCTGGTAAGTTATTACCGAAGGTTTATCCCTAACTGTGCCTCTGTCATGAGACCACTCACAGATCTACTTCGAGGAACTGCGAAGTTCGTGTCTCTGGACAACGCGGCTAGACTTGCTTTCTCTAAAGTCAAGGAAGCCATTTCGAACGCAACCATGCTTATGCATCATGACCCCAATGCTCCTCTGAGTATTGCTGTTGATGCATCTGATTCAGCAATTGGAGCAGTTTTGCAACAGTTGACTGACAACCAGTGGCAACCGTTAGCCTTTTTCTCGAGGCGGCTGCAAGACGCGGAAACAAGATACAGTACATTTGGTAGGGAACTCCTAGCCATGTACTGTTCTGTACGCCATTTTCGACATTCTGTGGAAGGTCGTGATTTCATTATTTTCACAGACCACAAACCGTTAACGTTTTCCCTCAGCTCGGCGTCTGACAAATACTCCCCTCGTGAGTCGCGACAGCTGGATTACATTTCCCAGTTCACGTCAGACATCCGCCACATTTCTGGAGCAAACAACTCCGCAGCCGACGCACTATCTCGAATAGCTTCGATAAACTATATCGAGGGTATTGATCTCGTTGAACTAGCTCGGCGTCAAAAGGAAGACCTTGAGCTGCATCATGAGTTGTCGTCCACAACTCTCAAACTGCGACTTTGTCCTGTTGGATCAGACAAGGATGCAATTTTGTGCGATGTCTCTGCTAGTCAACCACGCCCAATAGTTCCGAAGAGTTGTCGACGCAACGTCTTCAATACGTTGCACAAACTCTCTCATCCAGGTGTACGAGCCACCATTAGGCTTATCGCACAACGTTTCTGCTGGCCTGGGATGAACAAAGACGTTAAGGAGTGGGCCCAGTCGTGCTTAGCTTGTCAAAAGTGTAAAGTCACGCGACACACGAAAAGCCCTTTAGGCTCATTTCTAGCCCCAGACATGCGTTTCGACCACGTCCATATAGATATTGTAGGACCCCTACCAGAATCTAATGGATGTACCTACCTTTTCACCTGTGTTGATCGTTTCACACGATGGCCGGAAGCAGTACCCATTAAAGATATTACTGCCGAAACAGTTGCTCGTGTTTTCGTCGAAAGATGGATCGCGAACTTCGGATGTCCATCCTACGTCACAACCGACCGTGGGCGCCAATTTGAGTGCGGACTATTTCACGCTCTAACGGCACTTTTAGGTTGCACTCGGTTCCGAACGACAGCCTACCATCCACAAG